TTCTCATGTCTAACAAAACTTAAAAATAAGGCCCAAAAGGATCAAACTGTTTCCAAGTATACATCTCAGAACGAAACTCAAGAATCTTCCTAGGAACACAAAAATATTCAGCTCCCCCAAAGATAAAATTCACAATATCTTGCATCAAATCAAAAGTTACCAAGTACACAAAGAAGCAGGAAAATGCAACCTATAATGAGGAAGAAAAATCAGGCTATATGCAGTAAAAAGTAAAACTTTTGTGAAGCACACAAAAGAAAATCTTTAAAATGGAGAGATTTACTATGTCTTAAAAGAGGAAACAATATTTTTAAAATGTCAATGTCCATCTAATTAATCTACATGAAAATGATTTTCCATTTTTATTTCACATTAACTTAGAGTTGCTAATTGCCACAATATAAGAAAAAGAAACAAAAATATCAACAATTTAAAATTTTAATTAAATATTTAAAATAGCTGAAATAGAAGGAGTTGAGCAAATAGGAACAAAAAAAACAACAAAAGATGTTCAAGACCTCTATGGAGAAAAATTTTATTAAAGAACATTAAGGAAACATCTGGAAGCATGACACATTTCTAAAGACTCAGTTTTGTAAAGGTAGTAATTCTTCCCCAAATAATCCAGAAATTCTATGTAAATCTAATAAAAATCCTAGTTTTTTGGTTTTGGTGGAATTTTAAAAATTGATTCTAAAATTTACATGTAAGTGCAAAGGTCTAACTTCAATTCCTGAAAGTAAAAAATAAGATGGGGGACATGCCTTATCAGATATCAAAACTTTATACAAACTATAATTTAGAAATTTTGATTTTGATGCAAAATAGGATAGCTGATGTACTAGACGAATATAATAGGATAGCCAACAAACAATCCTATGTGCTCTGAGATAGAATCCGAGATTTCCTATCAGCAGGCAAAAGACCAGTCAAAAAGCAGCAGGAAAAAGACCAGTAAATAAGGTCAATAAACAGTGCTAGGAAAATCAGTTATCCATTTGAGAAAAAATGAAATTGAATGGCTACTTCACACCATTTTAAAAGAAAATATTCCAAATACATTAAGAACTTGAATATGAGAGGCAAAACTTGCATAAGAAAATGTCAGGGAGTAGTATTATAACTTCCACAGTGATGAATACAGTGGACTGATGTTCAATGTCACCCTATCATCCTTTTAGGGTGCCTTCCTCTCCTGCAGAAGCTAGAAAGTTAAAGCCTACATTTTCCAGACTCCTTTACAAACAGAGTTCTGGATGTTATTTAGGTTCAATCAGCTGCATTTGTGAGATTCAAAAAGCAAAAGGGAGGTGGAAGGTGCAATTCTTCTGTCTCTCTGGCAAGCATTGTCATAAAGGCTCTGTTTTTTTCCGTAGCAGCATCGGCAGCGGTCCTGATATCTAGTTATTAGCTTTGTGAGGATAAGCAGGCTGTGGGCATCTGTTTTCCTAGTGCATATTACAGCAGGCATTATCTGATTCGTGATCAGAGTGCTGCAGCTGCAGCAAGAGCATCCCCATCACGGCGGCTTCTTGATCACAGCAGTGATGAGACACTTGTGGAGCCTGTAGCTTCCTGATCATAGAAGAGGCAGGAGCCTCACTGGGTACCCAGTTCTGTGGAGTCATTCCTGAAAGTACAACCTAAAACAGTTCTTCAGTACTCTCAAAGATTCTATAAGCCATTTAATATCTTATAATATTTCTTCCTGCTCGAACTATCTAGAGCAAATTCTAGTGGGACTTTTTGTTTTGCTTTTTAACATTTTAGGTTTATTAATAAAGTCATCATAAATTGTCATCAAAATACTCTATAGAACACAAGAGCCAGGTGAGCAGAGCTTAGTCCTTTGTAGGACAATTCTATATGCTAACTAGTACCTGAAGAACTTTTTTTTCCTTTTATAGAGGGGTGCTCTGCAGTTGAAAATACCTTTCTCAACATATCCGATGTAAGTTTGCCATTTTTGTCAAAATTTCTGCAGTTTAACAAAAAGTAAATTGAATGTACTTAGGAATTTCACGAAGTGTTCTTTGCTGGTATTACTTTTGACATTGTTTTTCAAAGGTCTCCCTTCAGTTGGCAAAGTAGGCAAAAACTTACAGGAGAAACACTAAAATACACAGAAATATGTTGCTCAACATCACATAATGGGATTAGTTTCCTGTCACCTGTGCTATAACTCTGAGATCTACCATAACCATATTGGATCCCAAAACTGTCCACCCAGTGGGTAAAAATACAGAAAATAAACCAACCACAAGGGCTTAGGAGTCATTTTCCATGGAAAATAAGATCTTCTTATTTTGGAGTTCCATGAATGATGGGACTGTAAAACTGAACTTATAAGGATTGGGAAGGATGTCCTAAACAAGGCACAAAAAGTTCAAATCATAAAGGAAAATATTGATCATCACTTTGACTATATAAAAATTAAGAATTTCTCTACATTATAAAACATCATAAAGAAAGTGAAAAGACAAACCACAAACCAGGAGGTATTTGTAACACATAACCAAGTAGGCATTAATATCCATAATACAACAAAACTCTCATAAACCACTAAGAATAGGCAAACCACCCACAAAACTCCAGACACAATAAAAATGTCTACTAACAAGAGAACAGAGAATTAAAATGTTGTATTGCCATATAAAAAAAAAAAATACCATGCAAGTGAAAGTTAATCAATCACTGCTAGGTGCAACAAAATGGATAAAATTCAAATACTGTGTGAAAGAAACAAAACACTTAAGAATGCATAGAGTGTGATTCCAGTTACATAAAGATTAAAAATAAAAATGTTAAATCATGGCAATGATTAACCCAAAATCAGGATAGTGGTAACCTCCAGTGGTGGGCTATGGAGCTGGAATTAGATTAAAATGCTGTCACACAGAGTAGTGATCCCTAGCCTCTCTGGCACCAGTGCTATGAGAATCTAATGCCTGATGATCTGAAGTGGAGCTGAGGTGGTGATGCTAGCGCTGGGGAGAGGCTGCAAATACTGATGAAGCTTCACTGGCTCACCAGCCATTCACGTCCTGCTGTGCAGCCCAGTCCCTAACAGGGCATGGACAGGTACCAGTCCACGGCCCGGGGGTTGGGGACCAATGACATAGTGGACTTTAAGATACTAGTAATGTTCTATTTTTTAACCTGGGTGTGGGTATGACCTACATAACAAAATATTAAGAAAAAATGTTTTACATCTTAAAAAGCAGACCTGTAAGAACTTATTACAGCATATATTACTGAACAAAGTGCTTTAAAAAGAATGTGGGGATAAACTGCCCTGACCTGGTAGCTGTTAAAGCGAGGTAGTAGTGGTTCATAGATAGGTACATGGAGTTATTTTCTCTTTTTGTTTGTAATTTTCCATAATAAAACCTCCTTAAAAATTCGGCACTTTTCATTCTAAATGAATATTTATCTCAAGAACAAAAAGTAACCTAGATTTCCAGATTTCCCATTTTAGAATGTAGAAAACTGGAGTGTTGCTTCTACCCTTACAATAATAATGAACACCAGACAATCTGCAAATTCACTCCAGGTCTTGAACCTAGCAGATAGCTGAGGTTGCAGGGCCAACTCACCCAACATCTAAGTTGAGAAAAAGGACATGAGCACTTGTTTACCTGAAACAGACACTACCTTAACAACGGTAACAAGAACTTAGCTAAAATTTTTAACTAATTTCTAAAAGTTGAGTGTGAGCTAACTAAAGACTGTTAAAACCCTGGGGGCCACAGACAGAATAAGAATTCACACTCATTCAGAGGCTCTTCTCCAGGGACAGGATGTTCACCAAAAATGAACTGGAGACACACTGGGAATCTGAGAAAGTGACTTGAGTGGTCCCTTGGAGAGGAGAACGGCAGCAGTCGCAAGAAAGGCACAAAACCCCCATGTGGTCCTACGCCCCTCTCTCTCACATGGAACAAAAAGTGCCAAAGAACTTACTCTGACCTCGCCCCACACATTAAAATCAATTCAATACGGATCACAGACAAATGACATAAGGGCTAAAAAAATAACACTGCTAAAAGGAAACACAGAAGAAAATCTTTAGGACTTTGGATTAGGCAAAGATTTCTTAAATATGAGAACAAAAGCATAATCCATAAAAGACAGACTTGATAAATTGAACTTCATCAAAATTAAAAATTTCGGCTCTTCCAAAGACACTACTGAGAAAATGAAAAGATGAGCCATAAACTGGGAGTAAAGTAGCATATACTATTTGAAAATAGGCCCTGATTAAAGATACATATATGAAAGATATAGTAAACTCTGAGTAACCACTATAAGAAATTTTAAAGTTATAAATAAGTCAATAGTAAAAATAAAATCGCCTCATTAAAAAAACTCAATTAATCCAAAAGAGTAAAAAGAAAATAGAACAAGTGTAATAGAAATACCTAGCAAAATATTTTAATCCACCTATACTTAATCCAATCACACTTAATGGTGAAAGACTGTATACTTTCCCCCTAAGACCATGAATAAGGCAAAGATGTCTATTTTCACTACTCCTGTTCAACATTGTACTGCAAGTCCTAGTCAGTACGATAGAGCAAAACAAAAAAACAACAAGCAAAAGGCATACTCATTAGAAAGAACTGAAAATATTATTTATGTTCACAGAAAACAGAATCACCAAAGTAGAAAATCTCGGGGAATCTGCTATAATCTTATCACAAATTTAATTACCATAATTTGATAAAAATATTTTTTTAAATGAAAGATAGAAATCCAATCTCAATTCTTAGTAACTTAAAAATACATTAGGAAAATATTTACCGTATATTGGCTAGACATAACCAAACTTTTTGTTTATTTTTTTAATTTATTTTTTATAGTGACATTGGTTAATGAAATCCAATAAGTTTCAGCTGTACACTTTAACTTTTATTTTTAAGACTGAATAAAATTGACAAATTATAAGAAGCAAGTGAATGTAATACTTTAAAACAAAAAATTAAAGTAAGTTCAAAAAGTTATATCAGATTAAATTTTACTTGAAATGTAGTAATTGGAAATCTCTCAATGTACAGCTACATTTTACCCATTCTCATTAAATGACAATCATACATAACAGTAAGAAAAATACTCATTCTGTTCATCAAAAAAGTATCAAGACATATTATTAGTGAATCTCTCTGATTGACATTTTACAATTTCTACTTTTTCTGGATTTAGGCTACCTACTGAATTAATACAATATCTATCATCCAATATTCAACTCAAAAAGTAACAAGTTGGACTTCTAAAGGGTTTCATAGAAGATAAGGTATATTAAACTCAATAATGCACATCAGTCAGAAGTTATGAAATGACAGTACCTGTCTTTATTTAAAGTTTCTCACTACTTATGATTTAAATTTTCATTTTAATAAAGGATCGTGTTACTTATATTAAAATTCAGTACACACGTATTTTGACAGTTAAGATAACATTTAACTCTTTGGTCAGCAAACTAGCTTTTCAGAGAAAATGTTTAGCTACTGTGACTTGGCTTTATGGACCCAAATTTAAAAGATAAAAGCAGGTAACTGAGTCATCATATCAAGATTTCTATTTTCTAATGCATTCTTTTGATAATCATTCACTCAACACTACAGAAAAACTAAGCTTCCCTGAGAGTGATTCATAAACAGTAAGTCTTAAATAAACATTTCAACTTGAAATAAACTGCCACTATTTCTCAAAGTTTCTCATATTAAGGTAAGAATATAAACTGTTGTACTATAATAATTAAGATTAAAATATCACAACCCATGTTGCTGTAATATCTTTATATCCAAAAAATAATCAAAGAAAAAAGTCTAGATTTTATATACTGAGGTACAAATGGTACTTGTTCAATTAAATGAATGTTATGGTTATATATTTTTCAAAAAGCATATACATATAAAATATATATCAAAAATAAACCCGATCTTAAAAACTGTGCAACACAGGTAACTTATTATTTTTTATTTTAATAATAATACACATTACAAAATTCAGGAAAGCTATAATAAATACCACTGTAGTCCAAAGAGAGTATCCAAAGTTTGTGTGGGATTTAGACTCAGGAGAATCTAATATACCCTTCATGTGGTAAAAATCTATACTCTTTAAAAAAAAAAAAAAATGCAGTGTTCCTTAAAAGCCAAACAGATGCCAGACCACCTGGGTTTGAATTCCAACTCTATCACATACTAACTCTATGACCTTAGTAAGCAAGGTATTACCCTTTCTGTGTCTCTACTGCCTCTTCTGTGAACTGGGGATAATCTGGGGAAAATTTTCAGTATTTTTTTAAGGATTAAATGAATTTAAAATACCTGTATATAAAAAGAAAATATAAAAGTACTATTCTAGACATTTTCAGGAAATGATTTTTACATCTGTCTCTTTTTTAGTATCCCTCCGTGGTTTTATATAAAATAGAAAATTTGAAAGGGACACAATATGTAATCCTTAGTGCTTATATATAAATGCTTGTTGATACTTCTGTGAAAACTGTCCTATCTTCCCCACAAAAGAAATAAAAAAGCATTAGTAAAACATTCTTGTCTCAAATTAAAAAGTATCAAAATAATAAAGTCCTTGAAACTATCCCTTTATCAAATGTAAATTATAGCTGCTCTGCTGAAATGTTTTTAAATTCAATTAAGTTTAGATATGAAGAATGCTCTTAAACGATAATCTGTTCCAAGATTTAATCACTTTGTAATCATCCACATCTTCTAAGAGCATATTTGTTAAGAACAATTTTCCCATAACCAGGTTCACTATGTATCTAGCAAAGTAATCTTGGGAGTATGGAACACGAATTACTTGCCTTAGAAAAGAATTCCATGTATAAAGCTCAAGAGACAGGCTTTCAGAAAGATCAAGTAAATACACCAACCATACAGTTGTTTAAGGTTTATTTTTATATGCATACACGTTTCAAAAAAACAAAAATTTCAAAATATAGAGTACAACATATCAAATCAAGTCATTCAGAATTATTTTAAGGTGTACACAAATAACAGTATAAAGTACATGTACAGAATACATAATATGTCTTGAGGTTTCAAAAAGCAGTGTTTTGGTTTTAAAATTCTGATACCATTATCATATTGTTCAAGTAACATATATTTCCAAAGTTAAATTTTGTTCACTAAAAACTAAATTAACACATAATTCTAAGACAGTCTGATAGATAAGCTGCCTTTACCACGATCTTCAAAATAGTGCTGTTCAATTCTTCTACAGAAAGCAAGGAGGTTGCTATAGTTTTTCACCTTCTCAGAAAGTTCATCACTGGTCAATTGTGTGGTAAGAATGGTGTACAGATGGCCAAATACCAGTGCATCTAGTTCAGTAGGCCTAAAACCAAAGTAGAAATGAAAATAACATGAGTAGCATTTACCTTGTATGGTAGGATATATACTATTTTAAAAAACATTTTATTCATCTATTTAAAAGAAAAAGTCACAGAAATCCCACCCAACTTGATAGAATTATTCTACTTTAATTTGGAGTTTGTTACATGATATGAAAAAAATCTTTTAAACTATTATTTCCTAGTTGTGTGACTTGCTTTTTCAAGTAGTAGTATTATTTAAATGCGTTAATATTGGTATAATTGGCCATATTCATTTTATCCATTAATTTATTCATTAAATAAATACAGCAAGCATGTCTCCAAAATGCCAGGAACTGTGCCAGATGCTAGAGATATAAAAACAAGAAAGTCATTCCAGGACATGGACACGAAACATAAATTACCACAACATAACTTAGTAAGTACTTTAATAGATGCATAAACAAAATGCTGTCAAAGCACAGAAGATTTCACTGTGGTGTTGGGACAACAAAATGATACCTGTTTACCCAATCGTACATTAACGACATGATTTCATTTTAATTTTTTAAAGTAACTTAGCTTTCTGAAGAAGACAATCATAAAGATGGCATCCATAAAAATTTTTCTAAGAGTTTTCATCCCTTTAATTATATATTACTAACAAAAAAATGAAATTTATCTACCTCACAACTAATGGTCTATAAATGGGGCATCACCAATGTACATTATATTAAAATAATTACTAACACAATATTACTAAAAGTAATATACTAAGCTTTCTTTCCCATTATACTGCTACCTTGTCATGTCTTCATACTACTAGTTATAACCTATATAGTCTTTCTTTATACACCTGTCTCTGATCTTTAGGACTGTCATTCAAGTTTATAAATCAAGCCCCTTTGCCATCAGCCTTTTCTATATTATCCCTTTAAATATTTTTGAGCAATTTCCTCTTAATTTTCTTAACTGGTGATTTCTTAATTGAATAAACCTCAACAAAATTCTATTCCTCCCTGAAATTTTTCGACTTAAAATTCCCAACTATAATTTTTGCACCATTTCTTTGATATACTTTCTCATTATATTAAGGTATATTGTCAATTTTTAACATTTACTTAAAGGTTAATAGCAACATTTTTCTTTTTAAAATCTAACTCCTTTTCCAATTTCTCATTCAACTTAACCTAGTTATAACCATTTATTGAGCTTCTTCTAGAAAATAGGTTTTGTTTGGAAAACACTGACCTACAAGGAGCTCATAAATGCTTTAGAATAGTATAACTCTATCTTGATTACATTTAGAAAAAATATATTTTCTACTCTCTTCCCCTTTACTAAAAAGGCAACATAAAAATATCGCTTAAAGAAAGATTTTAGTTTCTCATTCCAAGTCCACACTCACCAGGTGAAGGTAACAAATGATGTAATAGTCTTCACGCAGGGTCTTAACTGATCTCACATATCAGCAAGACAGTATGTGTAGAACAGGTGGTACACATTTTGTTTTGGTTGGATTTCAGAAACATGATTTAAATATTTAAAAGCTACCAACGCTACATATTTTGAAGGATAAAAAGGCCATCGATGTTAGTATCTACCTTGTATTATTTCTAATTTGTTTTATGTTCATTTTCCTTTTGCTTTTCTACCATTTAACTTCTTTGTCCTCTTTTCCCAATTACTACTCTTGCTATAAGATCTCCCTCAAATATCCTTTTCCTTTCTCTCATCAAGTAAGGTTATTAGGTTTCTTTCATGAGCCCTCTCAACATCTCCATTAGGTAAGCTAGCAGAAAAGTTGATTCAAATTTAAGAGGGTAAAGGGGAGATATACAGGGAAATAAAAGAACCTGAGAAAGTCAGGTATATGTTAGAGTCGAGAATAGAATTCAGGGCCTCTGACTTGGAATCTAATACTATATATCTTGACTTAAGCCAGTGCTCTATTCACTCAGGTAGAGTGTCTCACAAAGTAATGACTCCTGTGACAGATAAAGGAATGAGAAAAATTTTGCCACAACGAAATGAAAATATAAGTTACTTTTCTCTAAATGTAGTTTACTTACATGTTAATATTAATTAAATAACTGGGTAAAATTAAAACAAAAAACTAAACCTATTCTCTTCTTTAATCACAACTGTTAAGGGAAAATGTTTATCTAATATGAGGTAAAGTTATTTCAAAAACCTATATCTTACTATGAATTAAACAGTTCCTCAATAGCTAACCTTTGGTTTTGCATCTGTTCTAAATTTTTATTTTTTCATCACAAGTTTAAACATAATTGTACTCTTAAAAAATATATATTTTGATATTTCTACTAAATCACATGTCAAATGATACTTGGTTACTAACTCTCTGACACTGAGCTTAAATGGGAAGAAAAATCAGATCCATGCTCTTGGCCTCCCATGAAGACAGTGTGTATAACAAAACTAACTCCTAACACACAATGATGCATGTCAAACAATAAAACACACCCCTTCTGAACTTTTCAACTCCTAAGAATTCCTAGATCAGAAAGAAAAGGAACTACATAACACTAATATTTGAATACATTTCTTTTATGTTAGAGACTAAACAAAAAGAATCTGCATAGCAAACACCACTAGAAACATAAACATAGCTGTAGAAGCTTTACCTACCAGGATTTCATGGGTTGAATTCTGACCTTTCTGCTTCAGAGATCAACAGACTCTAATTTTATTTTAATATCAGTTATATAATAGTATGTATTAATATAACTTAAATATTTCCAATCAATCGAAGTCATTTTTGCTACAAAAATTAATATCTCTACCAAAAGATGTTTGATACAGCTATAAAAGATTAATGCCTATGAAGACAGAAGAGCAAATAAAGCTTTATAAAAATTATCAACCTAAAAAGCAAGAAAATTTAAAAGCCAAGAAAAGGTCAGAACTTCTAAGCAAACCACGGAGATTAAAAAGCTAATTGTAGCCCATCTTAAACTGGATCACAGGATAGCTGATTCTGATATACTAAAATTAGAAATTTAAAAAGAAAGAAAATCCATTCTTTGCCTACATTAGATATTCTTTTCCAAATTACAAAAAAAATCTGTCTTAATAAAACAAATTACTCAATTTACCTACATACATAAATATTTAATCTACATCTTTCATATTCATTTTTGTGCTTTATAAATATTTTCACTAATGTTTAAAAGATAAGTTCATAATAGTGCTTGTCCATCCAAAAATATTTTTTATTATTTAGTTTTATTCACATTTTTAGTCCCCAGGGTTATCTCCCTATATAGACAAGTATGGTTATACTTCATATTCTAATAGTACTTTACAAGTTTAGAATTTTATTAATCAAGACACTGTAATTCCATACATAGAACCCAGAACTACCCCCATTAGAATCTCTATATCATACAGTAATGACTGGTTTACATATCTGCCCTTAAGATATATTCTTAATGGTTAGGACCACATTTTAGAAATCTCAGTCTCCTAGCCTAATGCTATGCCTGACACCCAAGAAATGCTAAGTAAATGTTTAATGAAGGCAAAAATAAATTTGAACTAAATCTTTCAATAAATATTTCTTGATAAAACAATTCTTCTATGATAAAATAAGTTTGTTATCTAACAATATAGAAAAGAAACTAACTTTAAAAAAATTAAATTTCTTACTGCTTATTGAAGAAATACGGTTGTGTTCCCAGTCTTTGAGAAAGAGCTTGACAGCACTGGTCTACATCTTCTAAGACCTTATATAGGCAATAGACCCCAAAGAAAAATATTTAAATTAGCAAACAATAAAATATGTCTAAAACAATTTATATAACAGTTTATAACAAGAATATAAATTTAGATGACTTTTTATGACATATTTAAAACAGACTACAGACTACATATAGAAATAAGTAATATTTTCCATAAAAAGAAATAGGAAAAAAATTTGAGAGCTAATTTCTTTTAAATGCAAGTAAAATTTAAGTTACTTATAAGGATTACTACAAAGGAAATTTTATCTCAAAACTTCACTTGCTACAAAAATGTTTTCCTAAATCCATATATTCAAATGACTTTGCATATATTTAAAAAATTGCTTCATAAAGGTAACATTGATGACCCACCAGGAGTAAAATCATTTGAGCTGATTTTCCACTAGTGGAGATGGATTTTATTTACTGCATCCCTATTCATTTACCCAATCCCCTTTGTGGCCAATGACACATATCAGTGACTTGGCTGGCTAGGACCAGGGTTAGCCTTGGAAAAAAGACATTCATTAGTCAAACTCATAATCTTAACAAGATTTATATTTTTTAATCTTTATATCAATAGATCTAAGACCAAAAAGAAAAGATATATTTAAGCACTATATTTAACAGGGTCATTTTCTTTAAACCCTGATGCTGCAGATCAATATTTATTGGCATAAAAGATGCCCACAATGTATTGTTGAATGGGAAAAAAATCAGGTTACAGAGTAGCAGGTATATGATCCCATTTAAGAAAAATGTTTATTAACAGACATCTAGAAAAATGTTCCCCAAATAGTTAACAGTGGCAATTTCTAGGTGATAGAATTTCAGGTAGTTTTTACTTCCTTTTTCAACTTTTCTTATTACATAACTCATTTTACAATTAACATGTGATTTTTATAAAACTACTTCATGTCAGAGAAAATAAGAGCAAATGTTTTATTAATTTTTTATTGTGTTGGGATTTCTTAAGGGCTAGCAATACAAAAAAATGAATTTCTTAATGCTTTAAAGGTTTTCCTTAAATGCATTGAGGTTTTGTAAACTTCAATCTGAACTGACCTGGTCCAGAGTCTTGTTACCCCATCCAATAGCCTTCATTTTACGTTTGACTTCCCACTGTTTCTGATAGGCCAAAATATGATTCAGAGGCCAAGGGTAAGGAGATCCATATCTAGCATGAGTGATCTAAAGCAAAAATATTTTGTTAAAAACAAAGGCTTTTTTTACAAATAGAATTCTAAAGGAAATATATGTTCGGAGAACACAAATACAGCAATCTGGAAAAAATACATAGCTTGCAATCTAAAAAAATTAAAATTTTAAAACATTCTCTTTAAAAATATATAAACTTTTATGTACTTTGCAACCAGTTATATCAAACAATGACACATAGCTTCCCTAAAATGTATGTGCAAGCAAAATTAAAGTAAGTGAAAAACTATATCACTAATGGTATAAACCACAATGTTTCATTTATGAGCAGGGACTTACAATTCTGAGCAAAAGTGTTTTCTCATTAAATTTTAATTAAGATAAATGCTACAGAACCACTCACCTCCCCTACTGTAGCTTCATCACACCACTGAAGATACAACTAGGAACAAAAGAACAGTGACTAAACTTTAGAATACAAAAGAGAAAATGGATAAAAAGAAAGTTATTTCTTGCCATGCTAATTTTTTATAAGCCAACTTTATAAAAATCACATATGTAAGGTGTTTGGTTTTTTTGGGTTTTTTTGTTTTTTTGCTAAAGTTGCTATACATAATTATTAAATTTAATGGTGGTACTTAATAAAAATATTTCTTATTCATATAATATGTCCCTAAATATCATTAAAGTATTTCATAGATATTTAAGTAAACTTTACAAGGCAAAAGTAAAATAATAAGTGGGAAAGAACCGCTCCTTTTTACAAACATAAAAATTAGAACTGAAAATGTCAGGCAACTTGTTCAAAGATAATGATCAAATAATTTGGGTTAAGTATCCCAGCCCTAGAATTGCTTGACTATTTTCCTATTTCTCAGTAACTTTAACCCACAAGAAAGATTATCTTTTATGAGAGAAAAAGCTAATTTTCAAGGCCTATTGTTTTCTATTATACCTCTGCAGTTAACAGCATATTGTTGACTAATTCCATGTAGGCTTTCATTTCCGCTTTTTGGACTTCATCCAGCCCATCACTAAGAGAATGGCCCTAAAGGGAATTTAAAAAAATTTAAGAGCATCATATTAAATGTAAAAGAACTTTCAGTTATCTTACTACAAAGTAATATAACATCAATCTTTTTACTGCATATATCTATGGATTAATTTCCAAAATGCTTCCTAAAACAAAATTATTTTATATTAAAAAATAACTAATACTCTATTGCTGTAAAATATTAATAAGTAGTATTTATTTATTATAAAAATGTATCTTTCAATGGATAAAATTACATTATCAATTATTTCACTAAAGAAGAAAACAATGGTCAGTAAACTTTGTTATTTTAAGAGATTAACTTTATTAATTAAATAAATGCCAAAAGATTGACACGTGTTGCTTATAAAGTGGTTGAAGACTAAAAAAGTTAGTAAAGGTAGAAATAAACACTAATTTTTAAATTCTAATACACTATAGTAATGAGTGGATGCATAAAATGATATAACTTTTATTTCAACCTGGCAATCTGTTTTAAGATTTTAAAAATGCATACTCTGTAACATCGTAATATCACTCTAAGGAATTTATCCTAAGGGGATAATCTGACAAGTGTACAAAGGTATATGTACAAGAATATTTATCTTAGCACTCAATAACAGCAAAAAACTGGCAATATTTAAGTGCCCATCAGTAAAGACTTAAGTAAATAAATTATAATATATCCATCTAATAGAATACTATACACTTTAAAAGAACAATGTATAAATATATATGTATGTATATATAGTCATTAAAACATAGACAATTATGCATATATAGTAATTCGCAATTTCCAAACACTGATAATTTTAAAAGGCAGGTTGCAAAGTAACTAATAATAGCATGCTCCATATTTTTCTATATAAGCAAAGGGAAAAGTCTGGAAGGATATTCCCCAAAATGTTAATAGAGGTTGTCTTCTGATAACTATTAAAATTTAAACTAAATAATTTATATGAATAAATTAATATATTCAGCTTCTAAACATATCCTATGTCTCCCTTCTCAAAGGTTAACTTGACATTTTATAATCTAACAGTTTTCATTTATGACCAAAATTCTCATAAGCATGTTAGAAAATTATCTACCATTTTGTAAAGATCAAATTACCTCTTTGCCATTGATTTATATTATGAAAAAAAAAATACACTTTAGAAATATTTCTCCAGTAGTTTGTATTGGCATTTTATAAAACTAGGTTAAAATCAATGTAAATGTTAAAACATGCTAAAGAATGATGAATGACTTATTTAAGAGTTACTGTGATCAAACGCATTTAATATCTTTTTTATTACCTTGGCTTTAACGAATTGGACTATTGGACCAAGTTCTGATACTACTTGATTTCCTACATGAATAAAAGGTACTTTACCTGTTGAGGAAAAAAAATACGTAAAAACATTTTCAGTAAATTAAAGTTTGTGCTAATAAAAAGGAAATTAACACAAAACTGGGATATGCTTTATTAATACAGAATTTCATAAAACTATAACTTTTGAAAGTTACAGTTAAATGTATATGTTAATTTCTATAAATTTTTAAATACTGATTACTGGCTAGTTTTTAAAAAGAAAGAAGAAAAAGATTTCTTTCTAGAGTTATCGCTTGTATATAATAATAGATCACAATATTCTCTTTTCAGCGCTAACACTAACAAATCATATGTATCAGTAAATACTACTTATTCAAATTACATGAACCCAGACATTGGTTCATGACTGCTGACAGACTTCGAAGTATTTAAGTGTGCTTTCTCTTCAGAATACATTGAAGCAATCTATATTTTAAACTGCATTTAAGAAGAATTCTTTTGATATCTTCTACTTTTAAGTCTCGGATATCATTAAGGTCAATATTTTAAGTACATTTGATAAATTAATTAATGTCTTTGACTCAAAAATATCAAGAATTAAGAGAATTAACAATCTTTAAAGGTATGTTAGTTTATGAATTATAATACAAAATATATTCTCAACACATGTAGAGGAAAAGAACAAGTAAAATGCTTATAAAAATTGGCTTCTCTAAGTAAATGCCACATCAAAAAAGTAATTATTTCATTCGTATAAATATTAAGTTGATGAAATTATCAGAGATGATAAGACCAAAATAGTCTCCAAACAGCAATAAAGTTTACCCCAAAAACCAGAGGATGAAACCTGCTGTCAGACCTAGTTCAAACAGAGTTCACCCTAACAGCAGGCTTCTTCATGGTCCTTTTCAATAGATTCAATTACTGAGAGTAATGGATGAGGTGCACAGCACCAACAAAAGCTTCATCTGCATCTATAGGATAACACATTACAAAGGAAAGTCAGGCCTTTTGGAACACAACTACTCAATAGATGTATTTAGAAGACATTTCCATGTTACCAATATAGAAACACTGAGTTCTGCATTCCTTTCTTCTACTGCTTTATAAATCTTGCAAAAAAAGAAAAAAAAAATTGTATCTGGGTAAACATTAGGTCATATTGTTTTTTAACGGGATAAAATCTGTTTAACTACTATATTGCTAGTAACAGTGTAAGTCTTCTGAGATAAAATGATCTGAGAATGAAAACTATTTGTGAATGAACGCCTAGACTAAAGGGTATTGATATTTCTGGGGTATAACATTTTGAGAGCAAAGTGTATTTCTCATTTTCAATAACCAATTTGGAGTCCTTAGAAGAGAGAGATTTCATTTAATTTCTTTTCTTAAAAATACTTTTAGTACTGCAGATTCTGAAACAGGGAAGCAATGTGGGCAGTCAATTGAGTATTTCTATATCTCTAAATATAAAGAGATATATAAAATCAAGGCAACAAATTAGAAGTAAATAATGTTTTCTGTCACTTGTCTGACAAAATGGAGTCAATGTTATATCCCTGTTATTATAGGTATCAGGCAAAAGCACAGTAAGACAGTTATTCTCTGGCACCAATCAAAGGTTATAAAAGAAAACGAAGGGAAGTGTTTCTCACTTTAGGCAGAATAATCATTCTTAGAACTTTTACTTCTAAAGAAAGTAAGAAGTTGTTGCTAAGCAAGTATATGGATTCAGAGGCTATTAGAAAGAACCTTGGATGTCATCTAGTCCAATCATCTAATATTACAGATGAAATCAGAAGGGCTCAAACAAGAGAAGTGAAATTTCCCAAAGAAACTTAATATGTGACAACATAAGATTACAGTAAAATTTCCTAACTCAGCCAAGTGGTCTTCTGACTATTCCACGATGTTCTCTGCTTTAAAAATCGTCCACGACAAGATCAAACAAGCAAATAAAATGAAACACATCCTCCTGCCCACCCCCACAACTCTTATGATGAAAGAGAATACTAGAGATATGATGAAGCTTAAATATCTTAATAGAAACTGTCATTTTCATCTACCTATAAGAGATTCCTATGAATGTATATAGGGATGTATTATTGTAGTCTCTATAATATTTAACTGTTTGTCTTTCATAGAGTCTGTAAAAAGAAGGTAGATATCTACCTAAGTGATATTTAGTATAGTCATTTTAGGAAACAGATAGATATGGCTTCTCTTCATTTGCCAAAGATATCGACTTTAGTATTAGATTACTAACATTCTTATGCATATATCTACACTCTTTTTGCATGACTACATAGAGAAAAAAGACAGAACCCAATATAATTTCACCAAAATTCTGTTACATTTATAAAACCTACATATAAAATTAACAGAAAATGAGTCAATTAATGGCCTTTGAGAATCTAAAATATGTCTGTTTATAAGTTTAGAAATTCATGGAAATGTATCAAAATGTATTATACTAATAAACCTATAAATGTCAATGTATGCATATAGAATTTTCAGTGTTATGGTGGTCTCTTCACAGCTTTTAACAATTATTACCACCTTTAAGAACTTAAGATGAAAAAAAAATGTTTAACACAAGTTATAATTACAATGAAGAGATAGATGTCTCCCTAAAAAGCAATGTAGCACATTTATGCCAATCATATTCAATGGATTTATTCATAAAGGAATGATTCTGTGTGTTATTATTGCTCCAGCAAAACCACAGTTATAAGAATCCATATCAATTCAACATTTATCAGCTTTGTGGCATTATATTTTTACATTAAAAATGATCTGAATCATATTTACTTAAAGTTGTACTTTACTAACATATGACATATAGAAAAACAATACTGATTATAAAAAATAGCAAAAAAGGCTAAAACTTTAAAAAAGTACCTTAAAACCTGTTAAAGTAAAACAAAAGAATTAGACGTCGAAACATTCAAAGATGACTTTAAGATCTATGACAAGTTAATTATTCTACAATCTCTCTTCTTCCATCTTTACAAGGGAGAATATAATTTGGAGAAGTCTATTTAATAATAAATAACTCATTAATATTAAAATTTGTTTTCTGAGCAGGAAACAGTCTTATGTAAAAAAGACTGAGGAAATCTGAGATTATGTGCTTTCTTAACACTTACTATTTAAAACAATTCCCATAACTTTCCAGAGCCATCTCTGACCACAGAGCTGAAATGCATAAACAAGCCAACCCCAATTGTCAAGTTTGCAATTGTTACTTTATAAAACCATGGGGAAATTCTTCAAAGAGTAAACAAAAAAAATAGGCATTTAAAAAATCTAGGTACAAACCAGACTAGCACTGTAATTTATCAATGTAGAATATTAATGAAGAAGAAAAAATCACTTACCAGATGGAGACATATATTCTGCATTTGCCCTACAAACCACTTTGATAGGCAGATTACACATTTGCAAAAAGGCCTGTAAACCAAGAGAAGTATAGTAAGCCTAGTGAAAGTATATGCATATTTGAACACGACTCTTTAAAAATTTCTTTTCTAAACTTAATAGCTTATACGGTAACACATTATTTGAAAAAAAAATCAATCAATTTAAAGTAAAAGATCTATATGCCAACAAAAATAAAATGTTATTACACTACTAAAAATCAATATGACTTAGACACCAGTAAATGTATGAAACTTAAAGCATTTAAGGAAGAAAATGTAAGTTATCCACATTTTACTGTATTAATTTATGTAAGTCAGCAATACTGTATATTGCTTTAATTTTCTTTAACAGATGACTAAAGTCCAAGTTTTATAAGGTACTGCTTAATTCCTCTACTCTTCACAGGGTCATCTTTCTCGTTTTAGGAGCAAACTCCCAAAATGTTATTTCTGCTACTTCAAAGTTGTCTCCAATAATACTACGTATCCTAACATGTAATTTTTATCCTCATTAATTCACTTATTAAACACATAATTGTTCATTTTTTGCTTTATATATAGTAACAAAAATTTTATAAGCAACTTAAATATCTAACAATAGGGAACGGGTAAATCCAAACAATGGAATGTATGCAATTTTTAAAAGTCACATATTTAAAGAATTTTTTACAACAGGAAAAATGTCTACATTACAATAATAAGTGAAAAAATACAAAATTATATTGACTATATATACTAATTCATTTTTAAACATTTTTAAGATATCAGTAAACACTTTGCCAAATGTATATGCCTTCTGACTGGTCTTGCCACTATTTTTCATAACATTCAAAGCTTATCTCCTTGTTCTCTCTTCTTTGGTATCTAGGCTTCTTTTTCTCTACTCATTAAATTTCCGTATCTTCTTTCTATAATATTATTTACTTGGGGAAGTCATAGTTACAATGGTTCAAATTACCACATACAAATTAGAAAACAAATTTTTATCTATTTTTCAAACCAACTATAAATAGCAAATGTCAACTGAGATAAATAAATAAATAACAAGGCTATTACTTATGTATTATGAATTATACAGCCTATTCTACCCAATAAAGATTTTTCCTAGGGTTGCCTACTATAATTCCTTCCTTGGTTCTAGATTGGAAATCAGTCTTAAGATTCTTCTTAAGTAGTAAAGATATTGAAGAGTGATTATTATCTTGTATAAAGTACTCAATTTACCTAAAAGTATGCCAATTCTCTTCTTCAAATCTGTCTTCCTAAAACTCCAATTCTCTAGGAATGCTTCTCTCTAAAAATAAACCCCATGAGTCTGACCCCTCTCTACTAATATCCTGATTCCTGCATTGCTCTGTAACTTATGCCTGATGTCCCCCAAGTAAATGTAGTATTTTAGGAACAGGTTTTAATTTTTTGTAATTCTGTCCCTAATCCTAATCTCCTTCACTTTCCCGGAGCTAAAATAAGATAGTGCACTACTTATAATGAGCATTCGATGGTTTAGTGACTGAGCCAACCAAAACTCCCAGGGTTTATTGCAACAGAGGCTCTTTGTTATCCCTCCATGTATGTTCTCCCCTTTTCTACAGTGGTGAACCCATGAATTTTATCTTCACAAACAGCTGCCTGAAATAAGAACTTTACTTCTCAGGCTCCCTTACAACTGGGTGTGGCCAATGTCTAAATTCTGACCAATGGGACTTAAAGTTCTGGGCAACTGCTGGGAAGTTTCTTTCAAAGGAACTTTTTTTCTTACTGCTGACTAGAATGTAAAAAAGATTAACTATAGCCACAGCAGCCAAACCAAACCAAGAAACAGAAGCTCAGTGTTAGAGATGGTAGAGCAACAAGAGTAAAAAAGCCTAGGTCGTTAAATAACCATGTAAGTCACCAAACGTAGATTACCTGTTTATAAGAAATAAAACTCTTAAGCCACTGCTATTTGGGTTTTTGTTTGTTTTTTGTCACTCACAAACTTAATCCTAACTAATTCAACAATTACAGTTTCTAAGTTTAAGCACCACCTCATCCAACCAAAAGCTGATTTCTGTGTTTAAGTGTACACCAACAGTCCTCTAAATATTATAACCTGCACTCCGAGTGCATAGTGATAATAGTGAGTTTCTTGAATGACCTGTAAGCATAGACTAGTGTACTTGTTCTCAAACTTCAGTTAGGCATGCATCAAAATCACAGGGAAGGCTTGTTAAAACACAGTTTGCTAAGAAGGAAAGAATTAAAATAAATTTAAACAGCTCTTTCAGACTGGATGAGAAGGAAGAAGGGATTAAGAAAGTCAACTCCCTTCTATTACATACGTATCTCTATTGATATGGAGAAAGGTTGAGCTCCTTAAAACATAAACAGAAAAAAAGTGGAAAAACATGAAATGACAAGAAACAGGTAGAATAACTGACACACAAGATACATGAGAAGGTAAAAAGGGATGGAATAAAAGCACAGGTGAAAAGATCTGTTTTTGTCAGGAAATGGGACACTTTTTCCACTGCAGTGCAAGGGGTGGTCGGAATCAGTGATCATGACTGCAATTTAATAAGGGAGAAAGTAAAGAAAATGAAGGCACATTCACATTCTGTGATAAATTAGAGAAATAATCTACTGAGAATGAAGGACCAAGAGGGGACAGGACCTCAAAAGACTAAAAAGAATTTGGGGGGGAAAAAACTGCTTAACATATCTTCTCAATGGTCTTAATAATATTCAGTTGTTAGTTAACAATCATAATACTATAAAAAACAGTAAGTATGGTGTACTGAACTTAAACTACATGCACTAATCAACATTTCAAAAAGCTGTATTTCACTAAAAAAGATTAAGCAAAATTATAATGTCTACAATCAAAGCCATACTTCCAGCCCTATGAATTTTTTATTTTACTAAAAATAATGGACTTAATTTTGTCCAACTTAACAACACTCAACATACCACAGACCTCAATTAATGGCATAACTCTGATTAGCCAAAGACTGATTTTACAGCATTTACTATAATTACTCATCATCTCTGATTCGAAAAATTTTTTCTGAATTAATCTGTAGTTCACAAAGAAGTCTGATGTCATGAACACAGTATTTTCATCAAAACTTTAGAAAAAACAAAACACTACCATGCCTATCTTCAAGAATATAAAAACTCTAAAACCAAACCAGGCTTTGATTCAAACAGTGTTTCTCCCTTCTCTTGTAGGATGGAAGAAAATTTCTGCAGTTCCAAAATAGTACTTTCACCTTCATTTTCATTTTTAATCTCTTATCAGCACTCTGAATACTTCAAATAAAACAGGGATGATACAACAACCTAAAATATGTTTTACTTTCAATTATGAAAGAGCAATCTGAATGTTTTTATTTGTATGTAAATCCAAAGAAAAATGTAATTCGTTATAATAATGAAACTAAGTCCTATTCCTCAATTGGATACTTTACTCCAAACTAATTCAGGTGATTGACAATATAAAATAATTTGAATAAAAAACTCAGTACATTCTATCAGAATAATGATCTATAACTGTGTGTCCAGTATAGCAGTTTGTAGTCATCTGTGGCTATTTAACTTAAATTTAAATTAATTAAAGTTGAATAAAATTTTAAATTCCATTTCCCAGCCACATCAGCCCACATTTCAAGTGCTCAACAGTCACATGTGGCTAGTGTCTACTATATTTATTGGACAGCGCAAGTAACATTTACATCATCATAGAAAGTTCCATTGGACAGCATGGGTCTTTAACAATGGTAATCAGTGCATAAAGGACATCGTAGCAAGAGAGGCTTACATCATCTGAAAGTGATTAGGCTAAACATTATAAAAAACAACCTGCATTATAGTACAGTACCCATAAACCCTGGGAGTGATCAACTTTTGAGGACAGCGACACATTAAATGCCATAATATTTTCAATTTCATAAAAGAACACAAAATTTACTCAATTGCTGAGAAACTCCAATTGCTAAAATGGTCAGCAAAAGCTAAGAATCAGTTAAAACTATAGCCAATAAGTATATTCATTCTTTGAATATAAATTTACTGAGTACCTAAGCATATGACATGGTAAGTGATTTTTTAAACACACGCACGCGCACACACGCACACACGTGCGTGCGCGCACACACACACACACACACACTACCCAGCACCTGAAATTTAATAAGCTTGATGTAGATTCAACATATTGAATAAATCAAATTTTTTTAAAGGGATCGTATTTTGTAATTCATCTTTAAAGTCTATAAGAGAAGGTTTGAAAAACTGAAAAGTACGGAAATCTGCACTTTAACAATAATCAGGCAGTTCAGGGTCAATACAGCTCCCATGTTAACATAAATTATTATCATTTTGCATGTTATTAAACTATGGAAGGTAAAAATAAAGATTAATTCTAATTTGGACCCAAACTGTATCAAAAGCTACTGCCAGTGACCATGGTTGACTTCTGGATGGGAAATTCTACATATAGACAGCCCAGGGAGGGACAACAGATGAACAGAATATGTGCACGTAGAAAGGACCTAAGATATAAGACATCACAGGCTCAGCAACATTGGAGTGAGACGTGGGACACTACCTCCCACAGAAGCTCATACATTTCCACAGGAGTCTGACACTGCGGAGGCTCTTGGGAGCCCCCGATTTCCTTCTCTTAATACAGAGGGCTCAACCCAATGTCTCCTCAGGGTCACAGCTTTACAGTTACAGGAGACAGAAGAGAAAGTCTCAAATCATGGCAGAGTCCACAATTCTAAAAAAGCTTTAAGGGTGAAATAATTCTCATCATTCTATGTATAATATAGGGAAGTAAAAGAATTAAACCTAAGGTGAGGCCAAGCCTCTGAAATAAAACTAAAGAACCAAGAATCTATTAGTGTTTACAGAGCATGTCTCCCTTCAAGGTCGCTGTATATATGGAAAAAGCCCAACACTCAAAATCATATTTCCCAGGTGGGTTTTTACCATCTCATGGAAGACAGATACATTCAGGTTCTTTCCCCAGTCCTATACTGGCTCTGG